GTAGAGATGAAGTATCACTATGTTGCCCAGGCTGGTCTTGATCTCCTGGGCTCAAGCGATTTTCCCTTCTTGGCCTCCCACAGTTCTGGGATTACAGGCGCAAGCCACTGCACTCAGCCTAATTTTTATCTTGCATTTGGAGAGCCCATTTTCTTTCCTGTGGGAGTAGTTAGTTTTGGGGGTGTTTTTTTCTTATGATTCTATTTAATTCTGACATGAGTCTAGTTCACAGTAGAGAACTTAGAGATTGCAGGAAAGTGCAAGACCCGAGGTAAACCCCGTCCTGTGGTGGGTCCCACCACACAGGGGAAGGCTTCTTTTTGAAAAACTGGATACTGTGTGGCTGGCAATCAGTGTCCACGTGACATCCCGTGAAGCCACTGGCAGGACCCTCAGCCACAGGTGTGGGTGGCCCTGGTGACATCCGTCCGGCTCCTTGTGAGTCTAGGACTGGAGTTCAATGCAGCATCGCGTGGGGGCTCGCCTGTAGCTCCCGTGCTGAGCTTCCTACCAGTGCCTGGTGTCTCCTGAGTCTCCCTCTGTTCCTGCCCAGTTTGTGTGGCCATCACGAGAACTGGTGCCTGCCCCAGGGGCTCCAGCACAGGCCAGGTCTGCGCCGTGGCCTGGGCACCACTGCGGCCCAGCTTCTGTCTCTATCCTCGTGCCTTGCTGTCTCCGCTTCTTGGCCCTGGCATGGCGGCCAGCCTGGGCCTGGGACTGGCACCTTACTTCTGTGTCTCTTCTGCCTCAGGCCCCGGGAATCTGAGACCCAAGCGTGGCTCCCCACACAGAGGTGGCCCTGAATGCGCAGATGCCCTTGCAGACCATGCCATGAAGTCCCGGCCCTCGGAGCTGGGCCTGAGAACCTGCCCAAGCTCAGCCGCTGCTCCAGCCCCCACCACATCCACCCCCCTTGCCCGGCACCTGGGTCGCACCAAGGGTGAGTCGTGGGGCCCCTGTGGAGCCTTTGGGCAGTGACAGCGGTCATGCTTGATGTCACGATGCAGCCTCCACTCAGCCTTGCATGCCAGCCCTGCAGCTTTGGGCGGGAAACCAGATCTTGCAGAGGCCAGGTTGCAGTGGGACCAGGTGCTCTGAAGGTGATGGCTCCAGCTAGCTCCTGGGGGCAGGGGGAGAGGAAGAGGGGACTAGAACCAAGGCCTGGCTAAGCCTGGCAGCTGCCCTTGCCCACCTCGGGAGAGACTGGGAGACTTTTTTCCTGGAGGACACGCTAAGAGTCTCTGACCCATGAGTCCGTTGATGCAGTGGAGGCAGGTTGTCCTAAGCCGAACATGAGGGGATTTGGTGTAGGGTTCACAAGCTCCAGTCTCCAGGATACCAGTAGTTGAGGACTCACACCTTCAAACATGAAAATATCCCTTGGCCGGGTGTGGTGGCTCATACCTGTAATCCCAACACTTAGGGAGGCTGAGGTAGGAGGATCGCTTGAGCCCAGGAATTTGAGACCAGCCTTGGCAACATAGTGAGACCTCATCTCTATACAAAAAATGAAAAGATTAGCCATGCATGGCGGTATGTGCCTGCAGTCCCAGCTACTTGGGAGGCTGAGGCAGAAGGGTCTCCTGAGCCTAGGAGGTCAAGGCTGCGGTGAGCTACGATCGTGCCACGACACTCCAACCTGGGTGACAACGAGACCTTGTCTCTAAAGTACATAAGTAAGTCAAAAGTTGAGAGGCAGGAGTCAGGAGTGTGAGGTCGATGTGTCCCTCCCTCTACCCCAGAGCAGATGCTGTCTACATTGGGCGTCAGGGAGGCTCGGGGTTGGCTGCCTAGCTGGGAAGACCGGAAGTCCTGCAGATGTTGGCTGCTCTGTAGCCCTGACTCACGGTCTTGTTTCGCCTCAGGCTATAATTCGGATGACAGCCTCTGTGAGCCATCCCTAGAGCTCGAGGCCATCGGGCACAAGCAGTACGGTGAGTGGGGCCCCATGCCCCCTGGCTGGGTTCTCAGACTGACTTTCACTAGCGACACCTTTCCCAAAAGCTGAGGCCCTTGTGGAGCCCAGCACAAGCCAGGTGAAGGGGGCCCGGGGGTGCGCTCCGCCTTGCCCTCCTGGGGGCCTAAGCCTGTGGCTTCTGCTGACATACCTCCAGTGGCGGGGAGCTCACTGCCTCCCGAGCACCGTGCTCCTGGAAGCTCTGATCTTCCTCAAGCTCCCCCCCAACTGCAGGTTTGCTGGGAGTCCATGTGGGGGGGGGGGCATTCGCTGCAGGAAAGTTTCTCGCTGTCCTCACTGGGGCCATAGTTGTCCTGAGTCTGAGAAATCCTCAGGAGCTCTCGATTGATTTAGGATTGGGAATTTCTGCAGAAAGGAGATAGCACACTATACCAACCTTCTCAAAAGTTACAAGCTCACAGTCGTGTGTGGTGGTTCATGCCTGTCATCCCAGCACTTTAGGAGGCTGAGACATGAAGACTGCTTGAGTCCAGGAGTTCAAGACCAGCCCGGGAAACATAGCAAGAGCTTGTCTCTACAAAAAAAATAAAATAAATAAAAAACTAGCCAGGCGGGCTTGGTGGCTCAACCTGTGATCCCAGCACTTTGGGAAGTCAAGGCGAGTGGATTGTCTGAGCCTGGGCAACTTGGTGAGACCTCGTCTCTACAACAAATAAAAAAAAAAAATTAGCCAGGCATGGTAGTATGTACTTGTAGTTCCAGCTGCTTGAAAGACTGAGACAGAAGGATCACCGGAGCCCAGCAGGTCAATGCTGCGGTGGCCATGAGTGTGCCACTGCACTCCAGCCTGGGCAATGGAGAGAGGCTTCAACTCAAAAAAACCCGAGGAGTGGGGGCACCCACCTGTAGTCTCAGCTACTCAGGAGGCTGAGGCGGGAGGACCACCTGAATCCAGGAGGTTGAGGCTGCAGTTGAACCATGAAGGTCTCCAGCCTGGGCAGCAGAGTGGGACCCCAACTGAAAAAAGAAAATTGCTGTTTTGTTTTAATTTTTGAAAAGCAGCCACACATGGGTAGGAAAATTGTCCTTTAAAACCCTCCAAGTGTCAGTTTAACTCAGTTCACTTCTTATGTGAACAATAAGGGGATAAGCTGGGTTCCCATCTATCCTGTCCGTGGTCTAAGGTTGTGTGACATAGACGTTCATTCAGACATCGGTGTTTATGGTCTGTGGGAGTCAGGACGGGGCCTGTGTCCTTATGCCAAGGGAAAACCTGTCCGCTGGAGTCTGCTAGGCCTAGCTTGGCCCAAGCTGTCAGATGTGTGACTGGTCAGTGGTACACAGGTTCCTGTTCACACCCCGAGTCCTCCGGCTCCTCTCAGGAGAAGGGGCATGGTTTGCCATGCAGCACCTGAATAAGCAAAGGTGTTTCTGGGCTGGTACTCAGTTCCCCAGTTCCCCAGAGCATTGAGCCTCTTCCTTCTGAAGAAAGGCGTATAGTGTCTCTTCTCAGAGGGACTTGCTGTTTTCATGAGTGCCAGTCACACTGCACTCCTCCTGGCCCTGTTGGCTCCTGGGTTTCCAGCGTCTGCTGCCACGGGGCTCCCCTGCCCTTGGGGACAGGCACCCTGGGGCCCCAGATGCCTGAGTGACTTTGCCTGGGGGCAGAAGGCCAGGGGTGCCCAGTGTTTCTGGCTCCTGACAACACAGCATGCCTGACACCCAACATGTGCTGGGCGTGTGATGGGTATGCTCCCATCCCTGGGCTGCAGAGTCCAGCAGAACAGATGCCAGACATAGGACCGATGACCACAGGGTGGCCCAGGAGAGGCCTGGATAGCTGACTTGCCTGGCATCATCCTTCCCAGTGTTGGGGCCAGCTGGCAGGGCACAGACATACACAGGCGAGCCCTGCAGTGGCCGGGGATGCAGGTGGGTTCTCCTGTGTTCTCCTGCGAGCCCTGATTCTTCCTTGGGGCATATTTGAGCTTGAGGTGGAGCAGAAGCTGAGGGGCACAGCAGGGCCTCTTCCCGAGGATCCAGCACCCGCTCCCCAGAGCCACCCAGCAGGAGGCCTCCCTGCACAGCACACACGCTTGCACACACATGTGTGTGCACATGTAACCTAGAATGCTCTCATCTCTGTCTCTGAGGTCTCCATAGGGACCATTCACGCATGTTCCAGAAAGCTACATGTTCCCTGTGCCTGGGACTGGGCAGCCCCTTTCTCATCTGTGGTCTGTAGAGGGGAGAATGTCCTGAACCACGACTGCAAGCCTGGTGGACGCAGATGGCCAATGCTGTCCCTGCTGGTGGCCTGCATGTGCCGTGCCCACGCATGCTGGGTGAAATTGAGCTTCCTCAGGGTGTGCAAGGAACCCAGAGCACTCTTCAGGGCCTGGGCCTGGGCCTAGGCTTGGAGTTGCTTGGTGCTTTCCCCGCTGGAGGGTTAGTGGGTGTTCCTGGCATTGGCTCTGAAGCTAAACGCAACGCCCGTATCCCTGCAGCATCCCGACGAACCAGCGTGGATGGCAGCAGGAGCGCCTCTAGCAGCAGTTCCCCGCTGCACCTCAAGGGTGTGTCCTTGACTCCTGGGGGCTTTCAGGAGCTCACTCAGGGGCCGACTCCGGGCTCATGTTTTATTATGATTTTTTTTTCTGTCGGGTTTTCTGTCACCCAGACTGGAGTGCAGTGGCATCATCATGGCTCACTGCAGCCTCGACCTGTCTCAGCCTCCCTCCCCAGTAGCTGGGACTACAGGCACACACCACCATATCCTGCTCATTTTTATATATATTTTTATAGAGATGAGGTCTCGCTGTGTTGCCCGGGCTGATCTCGAACTCCTGGCCTCAAGCAATCCACCTGCCATGGCCTCCCAAAGTACTGGGATTACAGGCATGAGCCGCTGCACCGCACCTAAATAAACTTTTTAAAAAAATTTTTTTTATGAGTTGGATCCTCACTTTGTTACCCAGGCTGGAGTGCAACGGCATGCTTACAGCTACCCCAGTGTTGACCTGCTGGCCTCCAGCAGTCGTTCCAAGTAACCGGAACTTATGGGCGTGTACTACCATGCTCAGCTAAATTTTTTTAATTTATTGTAGAAACGAGGTCTCACCAAGTTGCCCCAGCTGGTCTTGAACTTGCAGGCTTAGGCAATCCACCCTCCTCAGCCTCCCAAAGTGCTGGGATTACAGGCTGAGCCACCAAGCCCAACCCTAAATAAACTTTTAATACTTGGATTGGTGAGTGGTAGTGAGGGGAGGTGCCTTCAGCCAATAGTAATTTAAACTTCAGAGGCTGTTCAGTTTCATGTTACTTTGTTTGTAAAGGCCAAAATGAAGCGCCAAAATGAAGCTTGAAAGGTTCCCTCCAGCATCCCTGCCTGGCAGGAATGAGCCTGGGGGCTTCGGGCAGGTTTTCTTCGTTCCATGTGGGCGAGGGATAGGACGGCACCCATGGGAACCACATGACTGAGTACCCCTGTCGCCTGCCTGCACCCAGGTTCCTCCGACCAGCTCCATGGCCGCCCTGAGAGCTTCAGCAGTGAAGACCTGATACCCTGCAGAGACCAGGACGCCAGCATCCAAGGGCACCCCGTCCTCGGCCGCCACGAGCACCCCCCGCCGTGGAACGGGCCTGTCCCCCAGGAGGGTGTCCAGAAGAGGAGCTCAGCCCCGCCTCATGCCGGCCCACGGCCCTGCGCGGTCCCACCCAGCAACGAGATGGTCACCCTGGAGGAATTCCTGAAGGAGAGTAGCCGGGACTCGCCCTCCCATGTGAGTGGCCAGGATGCTGTGGGCTGGGCCCCACTCTGGGGTGGGGCGGGGGAGGCAGCATGAGAGGGCAGGAGGCTGGGCTAGGTACCAGACGGCCTCAGTGTGGGAGGGGCCGCAGAGCATGGGTCAGCGGACCACCCCCAGCTGGCCACCAGGCCTTGGAGGTTGCCCTCCTCCAGGTCTGGGAGGTGAGCTGGCAAGGCGTGGGGCCAGCTTGCGGGGGAAGGGATGGCTTGGGGCCAGCACAGAGGGGAAGGATGACACGGGGCCAGTGCTGGGGGGAGAGATGGTATGGGGGAGGTGGTGGCTGGCACTCCGCTTGCAGGACTAGGATCTCACACTAGGTTTTATTTATTTTTGAGTTAGGGCCTCACTCTGTCACCTAGGCTGGAGTACAGAGGCATGATCATGGCTCACCACAACCTCAATCTCTTGGGCCCAGGCGATCCTCCTCCTCAGTCTCCCCAGTAGCTATGATTAGCACATGGTCGCACGCCTGGCCTCACAATAAGACTTGCGGCAGAGCCCTGGGTCCCTGCCTGCCCTTTGTCTTACCCACCAGGGGCTAGCTGACACCCAAGGGCCTGGAAGGGGCCAGAGTATGTGTTTTAAGCATCCATATAGTGCACCCTTGGTGGCAGCTGCTCAGCTCTGCCGCCTTGGAGTGTGAGCCTTGATCATAAGGCGTGGATAGACGGGGCTGCTGTCCAGTAAACTGTGACTTCTGACACTAGTGTTTGAATTTCAAATGAATTTCACTTGTCGGGAAGTACGTTCCTTTTAGAGCAGGGGTCCCTAACCCCTGGGCCACAGAGTGGTACCAGTTTGTCGTCTGTTAGGAACCTGGCCGCACAGCAGGAGGTGAGCAGCAAGAAAGCTTCATCTGTGTTTATGCCTGCTCCCCATGGCTCGAATTACCACCTGAGCTCTGCCTCCTGTCTGTTCAGCAGCGGCATTAGATTCCCACAGGAGCGTGAACCCTATTGTGAACTGCACACGTGAGGGATCTAGGTTGCTGCTTCCTAGGAGAATCTGATGCCTGATGATCTGAGGTGGAGCTGAGGCGGTGATGCTAGCTCTGGGGAGTGGCTGCGAATACAGATCAGCATGAGCAGTGAGGACTGACTGCACATCCCACCCCTACACCTTCAGTGGGAAAATTGTCTTCCATGACACTGGTCCCTGATGCCAAAAAGATTTTGGACTGCTGTTTTGCAGTTTCTTTCTGGTCATTTGAAAGTGTAGAAACGCTCTCAGCTCCCAGGCTGTAGGAATGTGGGCAGCAGGCCGGGCTGGTCAGGCTCTGCCCTGTGGCCCCAGGCCCTGAACACCGTCTGCTAACACTGTCCTCAGCCGGCTGTCCAGCGCCTGCCTTCAACCATGCGCCATGTATGCCTCTGACTCTGGATCCAGTCTGAGGGCCATCGGGAGCTGGGGGGGTGTAAGGGCGCCATCTCACCATCAAGGGCTAGCCTGTCAGTCTCCTTTCTGTCCCCCTTGAACAAGTATAGCCAGGCCTTCTCTGGCCCTGCTGTAGACCATAATCGGGTTGCCAGGGCTCAGTGGCACAGGATGGAGCACTTGTTGGGTGGGTGTTTCTGTCCGCTGGGAGGTGTGCACAGTGCCTTCCTCGAGCGACCAAGCACAGAGATTTCTGGAGGCTGTCACTGAATGCAGGTGGGGCCACCTCACAGGTGAACCAGGAGGGTATAAGTCAGGCCCCTTCTCCCTCCATTCATGTTTCTAATTGTGTGCGGAGAACTGGGAAGGCCAGGCAGTGCAAGTTGGGCTTGCCTGGAGGACTCCAGAGCCCTGATGTGGTGATACTCAAACACTGGTGCACCAGCATCACCAGGGCCTCCCCAGACCCCAGAGGCTGTCCCTGGGTTTTCGATTCAGTGGACCTGAGGTGGGGCTTTAGTGCATCCCAGGGGATGCTCTGGCTGTGCCAGTGCCACTCTGAGAACTGCCAGTCTAGGGTGGAACAGAGACACTCCAGGAGCCAGGCGCCTGCAAATGGGGGCCAGCTGGCTGTGCCCGTTCATCTCTGTTCTTTCCCTCCAGGGGTCTCAGGCTCCTCCCTGCTCAGCTCAGACCCTCTCCATGGTCACTATCCTCACATTCTGCATTGCAACCCATCTCTCGTAGCTGTGTGGCTGCCATGGAGCCTGCTGGAAGCAGGGGTGTGGCCCCGGCAAGCTACTTTTCCCTTATGCCTGGAGTATTTGCTCCCGCCACCCAGTGCCCCGACACCCGCTGCCCTCCCCAGTGAGCCCCTAACATGGGCAGTCGCTTCCTGTCCCAGAGAAGGATGATGGCACACCCACCCACACCCCTGCTCCCTGGGGTACTAGGGATGCTAGGTGGTATCACAAGACAGGGCTTCCTGGGTGACCAGAAGTGGTGGAGTCAAGACATGGCCGTGGGCGGAGAGAAGCTGGCTGGAGCGGCCAGAGCTCTGGAGTCAGACACTGGGGCTCATCCTAGCTCGGCCTCCGTCCAGATGTGTGACCTGTAGGCCTCCGTGACTTCCGTTTCTTGACTTGGTTTGGGGGTTTTTTCTTTGTTTTTTGAGTCAGGGACTCGCTCTTTCGCCCAGGCTGGAGTGCAGTGGCATGGTCATGGCTCACAAAAGTCTCAGTTTCCTGGGCTCAGGTGATCCTCCTGCCTCAGCCTTCTGAGTAACTGGGACTGCAGGCACACACCACCAGATCCAGCTAATTTTTTTATTTTTATTTTTTCTTGTAAAGACGAGGTCTTGCTATGTTGCCCAGTCTGGTCTCCAACCTCTAGCCTCAAGCGATCCTCCTGCCTTGGCCTCCCAAAGTGGTGGAATTACAGTGAGCACTACTATATCTAGCTAAGTTTCTTTATTTTTTTGTAGAGATAAGTTCTCACTATGTTGCCCAGGCTGGTGGTTTCTTGACCTTGACCTTTAAACAACCCTGCAAGGTTGCTTTGAGAGTTAAAGGAGCTTCCTTTCAAGTCCATTTGCAGTTCCTAGGACAGCAGGTGATAGGTGGCTCCTTAGGTAGGAATGACCGTGGGTCTCACTGGACACCCACCAAGACTGGAGCATCAGACCAGCTGGAACAGTGGCCACATCTGTTAGGCAACACCAGGTCCAGATGTGGTCATGGCAGGAGTTGTGGGCAGTACAGGGGCTCCCAAGCCACTGCCTGTCCCCCAGATGGCTACCTTGACCCCCATGTCCCACGAATGTGCATCCCTTTTCTTTCTGTGCCCGTCAGCCTCAGGAGAAACCTCTGCTCATAGGAAGCTGCAGCTGCCTGATGGAGTCCTATACCAGGACCTCTGTTGCTCTGCTGTTCCTGAGGCGGTGACCAAGGATACTGCTCCCTGAGCAGGGGACGCACAGCCTACCAGCAGCTGGACAGGAACAATCTGGCAGCTGGGCCGTCCTATGGGCTTCCCTGGGCAGCCCCGCCCTCCCACTGCAGGGCCCTCTGCCCCAGCTGCCCACCCCAGCCCCGTCTCCCCTTTCTGGGACCAGGAGATAGGTCCCGGCAGGGGCAGTGTAGGCTCCAGCCTCTCAGGACTTGCTCCTGTCTCTCTTCCTCTCAGGAGCTCAAGTCCTTGGGGTGTCCCCGTGCATGCTGAGTGACCAGGTGGCGGTTCACGCTGGTCAGATTCTCAGCCCCTCCCTGCTCAGTGCAGAATTGAGAGGCAGACTGAAGCTGTCGCTTTCAGCCAGACCCTCTGTGCCAGCCAGGTGTCACCAGCCCTGGGGGGTCCTTCCCCTCCCTGACCTGCTTCCTTGCCTGTGACGTTAGGACACTGCCTGGGAGAATCTGGGCTGTTTCCTGGTGGCCTGCATGCTGCCCTGACTGCTCAGCGTTTCACTGGGGGGTGTGTGGTGGGTGCTGTGTGCCTTGACATTGTAGAGGCAGAGACCGCGGTCCTGGCCACATGGGCTGCTTGAGGCATGCTGGTGGGCGGAGGCTGCAAGGGCACCTCGCCTCACTCCTGCCTTCCCTCCTTACCCTCTTCCCTCAGGACACTCCCAGCTGCCAGGATTATTTGCTGAGTGATTACTTCCGGAAGACCAGTGATGCCCCGGTCATCGGAGGCCAGCCAGGACCACCCGCCCGGAGGGAGGGGGCCAAGACGCCCACCAGCCTGGTGGCCCCCACTGTCAAGATGGCCCCGCACACCACGGAGGCGAGGCTCTCCAAGCCCGGGCACTATGTGAAGCCAAACCTCAGGCCTGCCGAGGCCGAGGCCCTGCTCAGCACACCCCCACGCCCCGCACAGCCCCCTCAGAGCCTGTCTCTGGGCAGATCCCGGCAAGCCGCTGTGTCCCCTGCTCCCCATGTCCCTGCCAGCCGGAGTGCCTCCCTGAGTCGGGCCTTCAGCCTGGCCTCAGCTGACCTTCTCCGGGCCAGCGGGCCAGAGACCTGCAAGCAGGGGTCTCCTCCAAAGCCAGAGGACCCTGAGGCCCCAGGGGGGCAAGAGACCGGCAGCCACATCTCACAGAGCCCCACACCCTCTGGCTCGCACAGCCTGGCCCGGGAGTGGACCCTGCTGGGGGGAAGGGCCAGCAGCTCCTGCCAAGGCCCCAGTGCCCGCAGCCGGCCACCGGACACCCGGCGCTTCTCCCTGGCTCCCCCAAAGGAGGAGAGGCTGGCCCCACTGCAGCTGTCCGCCACGGCCCCTGCCCTCGCCCTCTCCGTGGGAGGCGGCCCCAGCCCCCAGCTCCAGCCCTTCCCACCCGTGGCCCCTCCAGCCACCAGGACCAAGCCCAAGACGCCACCACACTTGAGTGAAGTGGCCACCATTGCCCCTGTCCGGGCGAGCCTCAGCCCCTTGGAGGGAGACGGGTCCCCCGGGAAGGGCTATGGGGAAGGCCTCTTGGCCAAGAGCTCAGGACGGTCTCCAGATGCAGCTCCCCACACAGGCCGGGGCCCTGAGGACTTCAGCCGAGGGGGCAGCTCAAAGAGCACGCCTGCATCCCCCGAGCCTGGTGGGGACCCACAGACGGTGTGGTATGAGTACGGCTGCGTGTGATGGCATGGGCCAGTTGAGTCTGGCCTGGAGCTCCTGGCTCCCTCTGACTCCGCCAGTCTCTTCTCAGCCTGGGTGCTGGAGGGGATGGGGGAGGGGCCACGTCTCCTGCTTGCTCTGTTGGTGAAAGTGCTGTGCCAAACCCTAGGAGGGTGCCACTCCTGGTGTGGACCACGACTCCTATGTGCACAGCATCCAGCCCCTGGTCTCTTCACTTGGTGTGAGGCCCCTCGGCAGGGCATGCTTGGTAGAGCACATGCTTGCAGTGTGACCTCTGTGACCGCATGCATGCCCACCCTGCAGGTCACAGGCCCTGCTGGGTCTGAAGACCCACTCCCCCTCCCAAGAGCCATTTGGTCCTGAGGGAATTCCTGACCAGCCATGCCACAAATACCTGGAGGGCCATGGGCAGACCCCAAAGTCAAGCCTGCTATGAAGCCCAGGAGTGTGACTGGCCCTTCCCAGGGCCCTGAGCGTGTCCCCTGACCCCAAGGCCAAGGGTGGCCTTCAAGGCCAGTGATGTGTAGCCTCAGGCATCTGTATGCCTCTCCAACTGGTTCCAGTCTCTGCATGGTGGACTTGGGACCACACAAGCACTCGCCTTCCCGGCCTCCCTGCTTCACTTCTAGAAACACTGGATCTGCTGGGCCCAGGGAGCGGGATGGGGAGCCCCGCCTGATCCCTCCCTGCAAGCGTGTACAGAGCGGGGGCCGTGCACCTGACTCCTGGCAAGTGTGCACCCAGCGAGAGCTGTGCAGCCCGGTTTTCCTGCCTCGGATGGGATATTATTTTATTTCCAAATAGCTTTTTGGGGTAGAAACCAGATTTCTTTTAATATATTCCACATACGTGCACGAGTGTGAGACGCATATGCTCGGGGTTCTGTCTGTGCCCACTGGGGCTGTCCTCCTGGGAATCTCACCTGCTGCTTCTGTATTTGGTTGGATTCCTGGCCTATTTTGTTCCTGCTGTTGGTGCTTTTCCCGGGGTGAGCAAAGCCTGCTGATGGCTAACACTTTTCTTTTTCTGGTTTAATGTTTTGAGAAGGAAATGGGGGACCTAGTGTTTGCAGGATGCACTTGAGGAGTAGGGTTGGTGTCAAGCAGCTACCATCTGGACCTGAGGGTGGGCTGGAATAAAATAGAACGGGGAAGCACATGCTGGTGTCGTCACTGTGAGTGGCGGGGTGTGGACTCAGCTCCCTGTCCCCTGGCTCCACATCCCAGGCTCTTGGCCGCAGAACCCACTGCTCGCTCTGCACAACCAGCCAGACTCAAGTGAAGAGTGCAGACCCTCATGTATACAACTACTCCCTGCTGCATCTTCTGAAGCCAGCTCCATCATGGCAGGGCTCCGCGGGGAGGGCCCTTGGAATCCCAAGGCTGCTCAGCCCCACATGCTGGGCCTGGGATCTGCAGCTTTGGCCAATGCTGAAACCAGGGCTGGACAGGGAAGGGAGCGGGTGTGTGGACCCACACAGGCGCCAGGTCCTCCCTACAGTGTCCCACTGCTGCCCCAGGGCTGCGTCCCTGCCTCTGCTTGTTAAGATCCTCCTTCCTGTCACCCCTCCCCCATACCCACCGTGGCACTGCAGTTGGCCCTTGTGTCTGCTGCAGGACGACGTCCACACTGCCCAAGACAGGAGGAGCACGGCCATCCATGAGCCGCATCCATGTAGCCTTAGTGGGGGCTGACACCTGCAAGTCGTTCCTTGGAGTACTCAGCCTCTGTCCTTTGATGCTCCCTCTGGGACAGTCTCAGAAGCCCCTTCACCTGCCCATTCCTCCCGCAGACAGCCACTGGGTCCAAGCCCTGGTCACTGCAACCACTCCTGGTCCTCGCTCATCCTCCAGGGCCACTCTCCCCCCAGCATCCCCCAGTTACCCCACACGCACATCTTTCAGGGCCCCTCCTGTGCATGGGCCACCTGCAGGTGCTGACCTCCAGCCTGGCCTCTCCTGATTTCAGGTCTGGGGTCCCTCACCTGCTGGGACTCTGCCTTCCATTCCCCCTTGTTCCTGAGTACCCTCCATAGCACAGCCCTGTCTCCACTCCCACAGTTTACAGGTCACCTGACGTGAGAGTGTGAATCTGGCCGTCCCCTCTGCCAGCTGTCCCCGTGGCAGGTCATCCTGTCCAACCAGCTGGTCTCTCAGGCCCTCCCTCTTCAATCTCCAGCGGGGTCCTGTGGGTTGGGTAGGAGGGCTCCCGCTAAGGTTGCAAGGGCCCACAGGTCCCTGAAGTCAGAGGCCTTCGGCAGGACCCTGGCTTCTGGGCCTGCACGTGAGTCACACCCCTCCTCCCACAACTGTGTTCCTTCTCCCTGTACCTACCCCTCACCTCAAAGCCTGTGCTGGTTCCCCCACAGGACGCTGGCAGACCTCTCCCTTCCCTGTGTCCTGTTCCCCATCTGCTGGCTTCAGCTCAGACCTTGCTCCCTTCCACAGCACACCCCAAACAACCGTGTCTGGGGGCAGGACTACGGGGTTACAGCCTGGGTTCCAGGGCCCCGTGCAGTATGTGACCTAGAGTGTGGAGACACAGCCAAGTGGGGCTGAGTATTCATGTTGGTAGCTCGGGGCGAGGTCTGGCCAAAGAAAGTTTTGGGGTCACACACAGTGGCTCATGCTTATAGTCCCAGCACCCTGGGAGGCTGAGGTGGGAGGATAGCTTGGGCCCAGGAGTTCAAAACCAGCCTGGGCAACTTGGCAAGATCTTGTCTCTACAAATATCAACAAAATTAGCCAGATGTGGTGGTGCGTCTGTAGTCCCAGCTATTTGGGAGTCTGAGGCAGGAGGACTGCCTGAGCCCAAGAAACTGAGGCTGCAGTGAGCCATGATGGTGCTACTGCACTCCAGTCTAGGTGACAAAGTAAGACATTGACAAGAAACCAAAAAGTGTTGGGATCAGCTGTAAGACAAGATGGGTTATTTGGGGAGCACAGTGGACCCATTTGCAGAGGCTCGCCTGTGGGAGCCCCAGCCAGCATTGGATGCTGACCACAGGATACCAGCCAGCCTCCAGGAGGGGAGAGAGGTGTGTGTATACAAGTAATAGGGATGTAAAAGATGTGATAATTGGCCGGGTTCAGTGGCTCAGCCTGTAATCCCGGCACTTTGGAAGGCCAAGGTGAGTGGTTTGCCTGAACCCGTGGGTTCGAGATCCACCCGGGCAACTTGGCGAGACCTTGTCTCTACAATAAATCAAAAAATTAGCCGGGCTTGGTAGCGGGGCTTGTAGTTCCAGCTACTTGGAAGGCTGAAGCAGAAGGATTGCAAAGCCCAGCAGGTTGAGGATGCGGTGACTGGGAACATCCGACTGCACTCCAGTCTGGGTGACAGAGTGAGACTCCAACTCAAAAAAAAGTGACAATCTATAAGCAGTACATATGCTACTGTGTATTATAAAAATCTATGGTCAACAAACTTCCAGAGATCTCATAGACCGTGCCAGGCTAGCACGTTGGCAGCTGACCTGCACTTGGAATGGCCAGTGGGGGTGGTGCCAACATGCGTGTGATTGGCATGTTCCTTTACGTCGGCATGTGAGCTGGGAGAGAAGCGGATCTGACATGCCTTGGACCCTCATTCACAAGCACCATGGGTGCCTTTGTCTGACCAGGTAGCCATCTCTGGATGCTGGGTGGGTGCATGCTTAGTCTCTGGTGTTGCTCCCACCACAGTGGCTCAGCTGTAGGGTGACTCCCACCATTCAGTGATGAGTGCACACCCTGGACAGGCCTCAGGTCAGGACTGGAGCCTGTCACAGACCCCAGGGTGGCCAGCCAGGAACGTCCCCTTCCCTCACGCTCCAGCTAGGCAGCAGGCCACATGGAGACCCCTGTTACAGAAGGATGTATCCACCTGCTGACCCCCTCGCAGCCTGCACAGTGAGCGTCTTCACACTCCCTCATGGGAGTCAGTCGACCCCAGGCTGGCTTGGACCTGAGCAGCCTGCCCGGACCAGATCGGTTCACCTGGACTGGGGCCCGGCCCCTGGCTCCCTTGAGCTCACCTTTAGTTCATTAATACTAAAAACCCCACCCTGGAGAGCCTGCAGCCATTCCCTGCATGAGGGATGGACCATGAGCTGGTTCTCATGCTGGGCTGTATGATAGAAACCTCACGTGTGATGCTGTCTGGCCAGGTGCCTTTTACCTTGCGGCGAGGCTTCCTGGCCCATGGCCGCTCCCGGGCCATCTCCCTGGACGTGAGCTGAATAAAGCCCGTGTCACATCCATTGTCTCCAGTCATTTCTTCAGCCTGTCGGACACAGCACCTTCCCTTTGAGGGGAGTACTAAGGGTCCAGCATTTCACAGACACAGCATGCTTTTTTAAAAATTGAGATGTTTACATTCCATGACATTCACCAAGACATTTGATCTCTCACTGTCAGAGACACCAGACAATGACATAAATCAAGCTCTGGGTTGTGGCCTCCTCCCATTTCTGCGGTGTAAATACTCTTGCCAAGGGCAGCCAATGTCAGGTCAACCAGTGTTGAATATGTCACTAAGCTCAGAGCTGGGAGGGGTCGAGGCCCCTGAAGGCTCACAGGTCACTGGCATGAGGCAGGTTGATTAGCAGGAGAAGAGGCAGGCACAGTCATGTGACATGTACATAAGAACCTTCAGGCAAAGGCCCAGCCTCCCAAGTACAGAAGCAAATGGACCTCTTGAGGTCACAGGAAGGGAGGAGAATTTCGAGGGGCGACAGTAGGTTGCCAGGGGCATGCTCAGGGCAGAATCAGCTAGCAGGTGGTTTTCTTTGGAACGTAAATGGTCCTTGGAGACAGTTACTACCTTAACAGGGGTCTGTTGGTGTGGTCAGAATCTCGGCCCTCTTTCCTGTCCTGGAGTGAGAGCACAGGAAGGGAAGGACAGTTGTTCCTGGCAGGTCAGTCCTACCTTTTTTTTTTTTTGGTTGTTTTTTTTTTTTGAGTCAGTGTCTCTCTCTGTACCCTAGGCTGGAGTGCAGTGGCATAATCATGGACACCACAGCC